AAAACCAACTTTTATTCAGAATTTGATTTTGGCATATACAGGGTGCTACAATGAGCGATAATTTAGTAACGCGTATTTTATATTGTTTGTCATTATTAATGATGCACATCAATAACTCGAACTTAATTTTTGTTTCGTTTTAAAGTATCGGGATTATAGTTTAAGGGTATTATTGGGTTATTGGGTTGACCTATATAGCTACTAGACATATAGAGGCCCCGTCTTAATAATTCAGAAACTTATGAAGCTACTATCGTCAATAAGTTTAAATGCGCCATTTTTATGGCAGTATTTTGCCTATTTCAAAAACCACATATAAACAAATACACTAAATATATATTTGCACCAACAAAGCATACCATTTTTAATTGACTATTTTTTTGTGTTTCGTAAAAATTATACCTTTTGACTTTTGTGGTGAATGAAATGAGATATTCAACTATAAAAAATTTATAAATCTAAATAGACTCGCTTTAATAATAACAATAAAATTGTGTAACATCAAATAATCCATCTCCGAATTCCAGAATGAAAAACGTTAATATAAGTATTATTTCTATGTTTAATTACGGGAATATGACATACATTGCGTAGTGGTAAGATATCATCTGTCTGCGTTAGGTTGCTGGTACGATCCTGGTTTAAGTAATATTTTTTTAAATATTTCTTTTAGGTACTCAAATTAATTGACTTTTTCAAAAATCAATTAACTTTGATCTCAATGACTGTTAAAATGCTTAGCAATCACTGTTTGGATTGTTTCTTCAATTTTTTTTATGTGTTTTGTCAGGATAACGCTTAATTAATTTGACTGTACATGTTTTAGGGTTTAGACATGCCCTGAAATTTTTTAGAATTCCGAGGAATTTTAACAAATGTCAGGAGATATTCACACAATGAAAGAAGATATTAAATCATTTTGACTAAACTAAACATACCCAGACAGACCACATGAAAGCGATGGCAAAAAAGAATCAAAACGGTGGATTTTACGATTCCTTACTGACAAAAATCGGCATCGCATAATGGTCAAAGATTTTTAATGCTATAGAAAATTGGAACGATTGTTGAGATCAAATCTACTACTAATACCACATCGAACTCGCGACCTACGACATAGTAGAAAACGCTGGATTGGCTCACGGCAGTGTTTAATGAAGCTGACGATTTAAAGTGACACCCTGTGAACACGTGATAATTGGATATTTACTGAGTGACTTGAGACGTGACTGACAGAACTGGCAAACGTCAAAATATTATGGCTAAAATCTACGGAAAAAATAGGATCGCTTTCAAACACTGGACCGTGGACAGCAAAGGGGACATCCTAAAATGACACTTTTTATAAGCTTGATCTCTGCATAATAGTATACTTTAGACAAGTGAGTAAAAAAATTATCTTGTTAGGCTACACCGACTAGTTGTGTCAAAAAAAAAGGAAGAAATCAAATTTACTCCAATTTGAGTCAGAATTTTGAAAATATTTTTTATTTTTAAAGAAATCGGTGTGTTATCTTTGTTTTAAGTTCTTAAGTTTTTTGGAATTCCACTGGGATTCTTCGAAATTCTTCGGAATTTTTGTGGTTTACCGCTAGGGCATTTATTAAGGAGAACGTTCGAATACCCACCACATCCTTCCTTGCAGAAATACAGCAAACAAACATTAAACAAAAAAGAGTTTAATTTGTCTCAGCTTTAAAAAAGCACTTTAACCATGGTTGGTGTTAAATTTTTTTATGGAAACGGAATGTTACAACTTGCCTTTTGTGGGACGCCCGTTATGAGTGCCTTTGTTGTCAATTTAACTATCATTATAAACAGTTTTCCCGGAGTTGATATTGTTAGTGACTCCTTTTCTATTCTTTAATCCGTTTTTGTACGGTATTGGGGGCTGCACTAGAATCCTTTTATTTCAACCTTTTTTGTCCTTGTAATATTGGTCAGTTGATTTGGCTATTGTTGCTGATTATGCAAACTCTTGCAACAAATAAACAATTATTATTATTATTTTTACATTCGAAAGCAATCGCATATAATAACATAAACCAATGAGAACGAAAAATACGCAGTAAGAAAAGAACAAATGTTTATCTTTTTTTAACATTGTCAATCAAATTCTCCCCTACAAAGCACGAAACGTGTATTTGTTGAAGCGTGCAAATCCGTCTTTGTGTTTGATTTTTTTCGAGGCAATTGCTTTTCCAAAATGAAGGTTTTTTTTTTTCTTTATTCGGTATCTGATAAATCCTATGAAAATTCAAACGGTTCTAGGGCGCATACATTTTATCGAGGTTTTTGAGTAATAAGAGAGAAAAAATTAAAATTTTCATATACCCTTTTGACGAACATATCGATCTTCATATCTCGGAAGATTATTTATATATTAACTGTAGAATTTAAGTTCAAAATGAGGTTTAACCCAAAGCACTTAGACACAAATGTGGTTTTAAGATAGATTAAAAAAAATGTTTCTATCAGGTACTTTTAAACAATTTGCGGAAATTACACAATCTGTTGACTCTTCAATAGTTTATATGTAAAGCACATAAAATCATTATTTTTCTAAATAACTTATACTTAAAGCTACACAATTATTATCTTAATCTTAATAGTTAAATAGACTAAAACGCATAATGTTATTAAATGCTTTTTTTTCCATCAAATAGATGCATTCAACATTTAACAACAAATTGTGGTTCTCAAGTGAACGATTTCATTAATATCAAAATGAAAGGCCGACATATGGAAGCGATTTGGGTTAAATCTAAATATTATAATCCATAATTTTTTTTCCTGTGGAAGTTCGCTGAACTGTAAGATCTCAAATCCACCAAGCAGGTTGAATTTGAATCTCCTTAAATCTCGTTCGATTTCAATTTTCCTCTGACAAATAGAATATGACAGATTAAATTCTGAGGCATACATAAAAATCCCTTATTGTTTCGACTAGCCCATGAATATTTTTTGCATATAAAATGAATTAATGGAAAATAGTTATCCTGTAGGAAAACATTTTCACGAACATATCCAGGCATGTGGTCATTAAAAATAGGTAATTTGAGAAATTAAATTATTTTACTTTAAAAATAAATAACTAAAGTATTGCTCTGCTTTAGTTCATTGCAGTAGCGTTTAACCTTGAATAAACCTATGTCGCAAAATTTCAAACTTCTAAGTTTTTTCTAACCCTAAAAACTTATAAAGAACAACTACGGTGAGAAACCCAGTATAGCCATGGAGAGATTCACAACAGATCGTTTGGGTCGCAGTGACGAATCTCGAAAACAAAACAAGTTAGGGCACACTACAAATCTATGTATTGATTGAAACACCCTGTATTGTTATCAACGTTAGCTCGACAGTGCCCCAGACATGTTCGTAAAGTCGCTTTGAACGTTTCTCCGCGTTTCTCCGCAACAAAACATGTTAAGCCGTTTGTTTTTGCACGGTAAATTGCATAAACGTATCAATTGTCCTCTTGATGTTTGTCGTCGGGAAACCTCAAAACAGCATTGCTTTAATATCGCGAGCAAAACCGCACTTGAGTCTTTGTTTCAATTAAATTAATTTACTTCACCGCTGGCGAATGAATAATGTCTGGAGAGAATACGCGCCACAAAAAACAACTGCGTTCCGTGTCGTCAGGAGCGGGATGCGGTTAAATAATTTCTGGAATTCATGGAATTTCGCAACAGAGTTCAAAGAGTCGATACATTGTTGTACAGTGCGTGCCCGAATCTATACCCTGCTACTGGTTTCTTTGCGAAAATATGGCTAGAGATCCTTTTTTTAGAAATCTGGTTTCTCTCTTATATTTCCCACCTTCTGAGATCCCGTATCCCAAATTTCATAACTTTGTTTATTTGCATAAGCCTTCTAGAGTGTTTTAAAGTCAAAAATTTGAGAAATTTTATTTTTAGCTCTAGTGGAACTAACTAAACACTGAAAAGTTATTCATTTTACAGACCAGCTACGAGTTGCGACGTTTTTCTTCGATTGCCAATTAACGATCTTAAACCTTTTTATATTCCAATCCACTCCTTACTCCAAGTTTCATTTTAATTAGTACATTTTTGCTACACTCATTTAATAGAAGATTGTTGTGCTTTAAATCTTCCTTCCATCGCCAGATGTTTGTAATCCTGGATACGAGATATTCCGAGCCATATGATCTGCCATCATTCTTGCATATTTTTATTATAATGAAAAGAATACTTGAAATATGGAAATAAAGAAAATCTTTCGAAATTATATTTAGATACCTAAGTGCTCAAACTGAATACAAGCGAAAAATCATAGTGTATCCTACTCGTGGAACAAACAACGGCCACAATTACCAATTGCAGTCTGTATAGAAATTAATTTATGTGCAATGGCATAAAAATTTATAATCATGTTAATCCACAGCTAATTGAAGCCAAATTCTTTGGAAAAGTACGAAAAACAATTCTGCTAGTAAGTTCTCTTGGAATATTGTATATCGTGTTCCAATCTACAATTTTTCTCTTTTAATTGTGCTATATATTGATTTTGTGGTAGCTGATTTAAATTTCTGTTTGCTTTTTAGTTTGTTTTATGCGTGTAAGCTTTGTCAAAATATTATTTTCTTGGTTTCTTAAGTTTACTTCATCATCAACATCATATCCTCAATTTTTGAAGTTTTTTATATCTATCAAGAGTATATAATACCAAATAAATTAACATTTGAACGCTCATCATTTTTAAATGACTTGGCGGCTGTCGATCTCTCCAAGAGTTTCATACAAGATTCTATGTAATCTATTATTGATTAGCAACAAGAGAAAAATTAAAAGTTTGGAGAACAACAAAGTTAAAAATAATTTACAATGCCAAACCAGTGGCGACTCTAAAATAATCTCCTTGGGTCGAGCTGATTTTCTATCTAGTTAGTATTAAAATGGTTAGTTCATTGGTCTTAAGCAGAATTTCAGTAAACAAGTGTAACATATAACATAACACTGTGCAATATTAGAACTTACTTAATCTCTGCTGGCGTCGCCGCCATGAGCCAATGGATTTGGTGCATCCTTCTGCATCCCACTGCGAGAAGTTGTCCGAAATGGCACGCTTTCGAAAGTCTTGGTCTTCTTGGTACCTGCCTCGTCCACTCACCAACTGCCAACAGATCGGGTGCGTCACTTATTCTCACAAAACCCCTTGGTCTGCTCAGACTTTTATCCGCGAACCAAGCCAAGGTTGAATCTTCGTAGAGGACTACCCATTCTTCGCACCATGCCTTGCAAAAGAATCCCTCTGAAATGACAATGGAAATTTTGGTTGTTGCTGACGACGAGACTAAATCAAATTCTTATCTCGAATTGTGTTTTAAGAATTCAAATCATCGACTATATTCTTTTGTTTGAGCTATAGATAGATTTACATTTTAAAGGGCTTATTTTGTGCCTTCTGGAATTATATAACTCTTATAATCTAGCAGACTGATTCCTTTCATAACTGATATAATAACGTGACTAGATACTGAGAAAAGACCTAATAGTCTTGAGTGAAATTCCCACAGAAGGTGATAAAAATTGAGTGTAAAAATGGTTTTTCTTAATACACTCTGTACATGCCTAAAACTTGAATTTACATAAAATTGTTTTTGATAATAACATTTTTGAAGATCTAAGCTAAAATTAAGAAATGTGTATCCAAATCGAGTCAGCATTGCGCGAGAAAATTAAGTTTGAAGTTGACGAATATTTTAATGACCATTTAAGTTGAAATGCTGACAGGTTATAAAAAAATAAATAACGATAAAGGTTATTTTATAGTGCCCGGGTTTAACCCCGCATACTTAAGACACCCTGTATACACGTGGTGCTAAATTTGATCCGTTGGTTATTCATCTGTAATTTTGTAACCTTAATCCACTAAAAACAACGAATATCCACTTGTGTATTTTGCTGGACGAAGAGATATACATAAAAATAGTTGCAGCAGCATTTTATTTATGCTTAAACTATGAAACCTATTATATTATTACATATAATTGGCTGATTATTCAAAATGTGCAATGCAAAAAAAATGTTTCATGTACGTTTGGCTAAGAAATTATAGTTTATTTATGTTTCCGATTTTCAGACTCTCTTTATACTTCCAAACTGGCACTGCAGTGTTCAGCCACACGGCTTCCTGTGCATTGCGCAGGTGTTTCCATAATCAATTCGCTTAATTAAATGTTTCGAGAGAAAAAGTATCCGTTGTTAAAGTAGAGGCGGACGGGTTGTGTTTACCGTTGCTGGAAATAATTCTCAAAAGGTTTAATTTTAAATTAGTTTTAGATTGAAATTGAACCGGCACAATTTGGACTTCCTCGCTGGCAAACATTATTATCAGGACGAAATCTCGGTTGCGGCAGATATATCTCGAATTTTGGATAGCGAATTGCAACAATTTTTAATTTTCATGGAAAATAGTCATAAAATACTGTCATTTTGTTCAATTTTGATCCGAATTTATGACTGATCCCAGTTGAAGCCGCTGTCGGTAATACTTGTTGCTTGTTTAAATGTACATATATGCGATGCGTGCGTTATTTAATGATCGTTGAAAAATAAATTGCCTAAAAGTTTTTTCAATGGACGATGTTATAGATCAAGCTAAATCAAACTACACTTTTTCTCAACAAGATGCAATAGTTACGTATAGTTTGATTTAGAATTAACGGAACAAATTGAACAGATCATTCTTGAAATAAACATTAGTCTTAAGGTCATTAAATATCTTAAATGCAATTCCTATTCTAAGAGAATTTTTTCCCAAGCGAACTACAGCTTAATAAATGAAAAACTCTGCAATGTTCAGCGGGAAAGTGTATTGAACTCGGCTCTAATCGAGCAGGATGTGACTGTATTTTATGGTTATAATGGGTGTTTTTTTCGATGTATAGAACTTTAAGTTGGCATTACTGTTCAAGATGGCGACCGCTTTAACAGTTGTCAAGTGATTTATTCTCAGTTTGGTTTGGCAATTCATCATGAATAGACTCACGCCTGAACAACGCTTGCAAATAGTGCAATTTTATTTCGAAAATAATGGTTCTATGCGGAATACGTATCGCGCACTATGTCCATTTTATCGTCGACAAAATCGTCCATCAGAGCAGTTACTTCGATTAACCATGGAAGGTTTTCGCACCACATTTACTCTTATTGATAACTTGTATCCCCAGAGACGCCGTACAGTGCGTACAGAAGAAGCTATTGCTGTTGTAGAGCGTAGCATTGAGGAAGACCCCAATGAGTCCATCTGCCATCAAGCACAGAAATTGGATCTGTGTCCATCCACTTTATGGAAGATTTTGTGGAAGGATCTTGGTTTACGTGCTTACAAAATCCAACTCGTGCAAGAATTGAAGCCAAACGATCATCAAGTAAGGCGTAGATTCGTCGAATGGGCCCAAAACGAGATTGCCGTTGTTCCCGATTTTCATAAGCGAATTTTGTTTAGCGATGAAGCGCACTTCTGGTTGAATTCCTGCGTCAACAAACAAAATTGCCGCATTTGGAGCGAAGCTAATCCTCAAGTGTATGTCGGAACACCGTTACATCCAGAAAAACTGACTGTTTGGTGCGCTTTAAAGGCTGGTGGAATCATTGGTCCGTACTTCTTCAAAAACGATGATGGCCAGAACGTTATAGTCAATGGTGATCAGTATAGAGCTATGATTACTAACTTTTTCATTCCTGAATTGAATAACCATGACGTATAGGAGATGTGGTTTCAACAAGACGGCGCAACATGTCACACAGCTTGTGCCATAATCGATTTATTGAAAGACACGTTTGGTAACCGCCTAATTTCATGTTTTCGTCCTGTGAATTGGCGTCCAAGGTCTTGTGATTTAACACCGCTAGACTACTTTCTGTGGGGCTCTATGAAGTCACTGGTCTATGCGGATAAGCCACAAACGCTTGACCATTTGGAAGACAACATTCGCCGTGTTATTGCCGATATACGGCCACAAATGTTGGAAAAAGTCATCGAAAATTGGACGTCCAGATTGGACTACATCCGCGCCAGCCGTGGCGGTAATATGCCAGAAATCATATTTAAAATGTAATGCCGCAAGATTATCTTTCGGATAAATAAAATTCATGTTAATCGAATAATCCATCGTTGTTTTATTGCAACTTAAAGTTCTATACATCGAAAGAAAACACCCATTATATATGAACTTATAAACGAATTTGTACCAACTAAAACTACAAACAAGAGTGAGTTTTCTATTTGGTTCCCTCACAATACAAAGGAGTTGCTGCGGAAAAAAGAGAAAGCAAGACAAAAGTGGAAAAGGTATAAGAAAGCGAGGATTATTCATTATTTTCGAAACTAAGCAAAGATTTTGGAACAAGTAAAATAACTAACTATAAAAAATATATTGCAAAAACCGAAGAAAATCTTAAAACAGATACAAAACATTTTTTTCATTTCCTAATAATAAAAAAAATACAAAATCAGTGCCTGATAAAATAACTGACAACGGTGCTACAGCAAATGTTTCTAAAAATATGTCTCAACTTTTTTGTGACTATTTTACGAGTGTGTTTGCACCTAGGAATACTCCGTCCTACATTTCATCAATTTCTACGAGCATAAGTGTTGTCATATCTGGATTTTGGGAACATTCTATTAAAAAATTATTACGCAACTTGGATCCTAAAAATTGCCCAGGGCCGGACGGTATACCGGCACAATTTCTCAAAAATTGCCCACTTTTGTCGAAACCTCTTAACATTCTGTTTAATAAATTTCTAGGTCAAGGGAAGTTTCCAAAAAGCTGGAAACTGGCCCCGATAGTCCCTATTTTAATATCTGCTGATTCTACAGACGCCGCTAATTATCGTCCTATCTCTCCCTTATATCACTTTGCCAAGGTTTTTGAGGCTGCGATTTATTGACGACTGTTTTTTCTGGTCAAGAATGACATAGATCCAAATCAACATAGTTTTCACATAAAACGTTCAGTTCTTACAAACTTGGTACCGTTCATCCATGATATTTTTTTCCATGCATAATGGTTTTGAGACGTGCGCTGTACCGATTTCTCCAAGGCTTTTGATAAAGTACATCATCTAACTCTAATGATAAAACCCGGAAATTTCGGTGTGCACGGCGACCTCATCTTGTTGTTGTCAATGGTAAAAATCTCGTGCAAATGTTACCTCGGGTGTCCCCCGGCAATCTCATCTGGGTCCTTTACTCTTTAATATTTTTGTTTTCGATGTTGGCCTTTGTTTTCCGGTTTCTGTTTATGCTTCTTTTGCCTATGATTTAAAAGTGAAAAAAAAACGGGGCTTCACTTTGAGAACTCCAAAGGATTCAATATGCATCAGTCAGTAATAATGGTGTATAATAACATGATAAGATCTGTACTAGATTCTCATCCACAGTTTGGAATCCTATTTATAGTAATTATATCATCAGAATAGAAAGCATACAAAAAAAACTTTTTAACAACTTAAACTTTAGATACAACAGAGATCGACACTTTTGCTCGTACGAAGAAAACTTGAACAAACTGTTTTGATGTTGTTTTTCTTTACAAAGTTGTAAATAACATTGTGGATTCTTCTTTTTGTATAAATTATCGGAGCTTTAACGCTAATCCATATCAGGTGCGCACGAGACTGACGTTTTCTATTGAGCTCTCTCCTATAATAAGATTTGCTCGGGCTAACAAAAATTGTGTTTTTCTAAACGGAATAGATGTGTTTAGTTTAATCCATAGTTTATTAAAAAAAAAAACTATATAAAATTCTTTAGCTCGTAGTTATAATTTAATTAAATCCAACTTTTGCTTTCATTGTAGAGATAAGAAATTTATTACTCACTTTCCCGATTTTGTTAAATAGTATAAGCCTATATTATGCCATTCGCTAATTGGGTAGCTGCGTCTGCCTGTTGAATGACCTGGGACATATAAATAAATAAATAAATAAATAGGTCATTCCACTAGCTGATTATAAACGCCCGAGACTGGAAAAGAATCAATGAGGTCTACATTCCCAGAAATAAATCTATAAAATCGTCGGTTTCCAAGGAACTTTCCATAAACAAAACTCGTCTCTCTTCATCTCCAGGTTCAAGTGTATGCTGCAGACACATTTCCAATACAGTAAAATTGTATTAAATAAATATGCTCTTTTTTAGTTAGAATTTTAGAAAGGCCTTTAAGAAAACAGGATATTCTTCTTCTTCTTCCTATTGCATATAGACATGATTTCCTGTTTTTCTTCACATCTTTTCCA